ACTTTGATGTTCCTTCCCCTCTGTGAAGCCTGAAGTCAACTAAAGGGCTAATGATAGCCATCAAGATGCTGCCATTTGATAAAACTAAATAAATAAATAAATAATGAAGTTCTTTGAATGCCTTAACCACCACCCCTCAAATGATATGCTTAAAATAAACCTAAATGGAAAAGATGTATTTTGATTAAAATAAAAATAACCAATAGAAGCTGCCGTTTTGTTAACTTCCCAGCATGTCCGATTGTAAATATTGCGCGACTGCTTTATATCCTCTTTCAAGGGCCATGTCTCGGGCAGTTTTGCCTTCAAATACAGCCTTGGAATTCGCACCTAAGTAATAAAGCACTTTTAATTAAGCCACATCTCGCATTTTTTGGCATTTACAAAAGGAAGGTGTGTACGTTTCTGTGTTTTAACAACTTTCCACATCTTACCATAACTTATTAGTAGTTGGCAAGTATTCAAGTGGCCGGAAATTGCGGCGTGCATTAAAGGTGTCAAGCCAAGAAAATCCCGACCTTCTACGTTCGCTCCAGCATGTATCCATCTTGTAACCAAAATATCATCACCAAGTCCCACGGAAATAATCAGAAGTGGTACATGGTGTGGTATAGTTAAATTAACCTCGGCTCCTTTACTTAATAATGCATCTGCCAGCACCACATTTCTATTTTTGGCAGCGTAGACAAGAGCATGGTCGAAGACTTGCTTCCGCATTGCTGGCTCCGTTTGGACATTAATCATGTAATAAAGGAGTTCGAGGTAATTCTAGTCAATGTGTTAGGCAATTCAACAAAAAGGATATCTACCATTGAAGCGGCATGTGTTATGGCACTTTCAAGACTGGAACTGAGAATAAATGGGGACGCTCCGGCTTCCAGTAATCGCTTTGCGACATCAATGTGGCGGTTAAATATCGCCTCCATTAACGGTGACAGACCAATAATATTTTGCGGATTGAGGCCACAACGGTATTTAATAAGCAAATTTACTCCATCCATAAAGCCACTTATAGCTGCATAATGAAGTGCTGTGTTTCCATAATTGTCGGCTTGATCAATATGTCCTGGATACCGGAGAATTGTAGCCATTTGGTGTATATCATTGGCCCGCGTTGCGGCAATTAACGCGGTTCCTCCAAATTCTACATTCTGTCAATAATAAACATTAGACAGAGTTATGAGTTAAGCAAGAATTTAAATATTGCCCCACTTATTACATAAATTGACTCGGATGGAAGTGACAAAGTGGAGGCACCACCTAAACTTGTTTCAGAATAATCATCAGATATTTCGTCATCTATGCCACCTTCTGCTTTATTCTGAATATCACTCAAGGCTAGATTTCGTCCAAAGCGACGTTCCAGATCTGCAATTGCAAAATTTTCATCAGCATCCTCATCCATTCTCGTAAGAATGAGCCCGACTGCTATAAGATATACTAAAGATTTATCTTCCAAAAACTGTCAATGAAGTGTACTTACCTTAATGGTCTGTTCAGAGTAGAAATATGATCATTTATTTGGCATACCTTGAGAATTTACTTAGATGAATAATATTATTAAATGTTCATGAAATTGAATGAATGATCGTTTCAGTTTTTTTTTTAAAAATACTCATTTGGCATTTAGAATCGCAATATCCATATGAAATAACCTAACGCCTACTTGCAGGTTATTTGATCTTAAACGATGAAGAAAGCGCATCATAAATTCGAAGATATTATGATTGAACTGTTTAGTAGTGCGTTACGCCGTGTCGAAATTCGTTATTTGTTTTCAAATGGCAGACATTGTGGTGAGTTGACTACGGGGTTCACCGAGGGGAGTGGGAGAGGGGGGCAGAAGTGTGATTCACAGATGTAAAAGAAACAGACAGGGAAAAAGGTAGGGTGAGTACAGTGTGGAAGTAATGGAAGTTGTTATACAGCGTAGTCATGGTAGTTTGAAGTCAGAAGTCAACTGCCGGTTTATAGACTTTTGGCCGCATGAATACATGTTGCCCAGGGTGCCCCACATTTTGCCGTATGAGTATGCGTTGCCCAGGGTGCACCACGTTTTTGCCGTATGAATATACGTTGCCCAGGGTGCACCACGTGGGCAGTTTGAAGTTGGGTGATGGTAGTTTGAAGTCAGAAGTCAACTGCCGGTTTATAGACTTTTGGCCGCATGAATACATGTTGCCCAGGGTGCCCCACGTAGAGGTAAGTCTGTCGCACACCCTCGAAATGCACTATCTGTTTTCTTATTTGCATTTTCATAACTTACACCTTTCCCCAATACATGTTAAGAGTATAGGTATAAACGGGCCATCAGCAGCCTCATTTGCTCTTATTTCACACTGGATTTAGGTATGCTTATGAACAAAGCATATTACCCAATCAACGTATGTAGAAATGGTGCCAGACATGTATAGTATTTCTCACACAATGATTCAAAGGCTTATTCGTTCTGATTCTGTTTATCTTAGTTTACCTCATTCATACAATGTATATTGCCCTGGCTCAGAACAGATGATTTCAACTTTAATTTCAATTGACGACATTTCTACCCCTTCCTCCTTACCACTCTTTTCGCTGCCTTTGTCCAATGCACATTCTTCCTACTCAACTCATCCACTTCTCACTATTGAAGTAGCTATTGAATGAGCGATTCAAAATTCCCCAATATCCTCTTTTCTCCCTGTACTCTATCCAAATCATCTCTTAGTTTTCCAGCACGAATTGGTGACGAAACAATGGCCAGTGTGACTAATATGAATTGACTCTCTCACTGAGTGCTGTTAGCTAATATTATTTAGCAATTTATCGAGTTTCAATTAATAATAATAAGACATTAGGAAACAATGACACATCTTATTAAATGAATGCATTAAGGTTTACCCAGATATCGCACATTTTCTTGATTATTTTAAGTAGTTTGAAATGAAACTATGGAAGACCTAGATTAGGCGCATAATGGTCGAGTATTGTGCTTTTATACTGTTATAAGGAAGGTTTTGAATTTATCTTTAGCTCTAAAGGTCAATAATCATTTAGCAAGCAACATTTTTATCATTTATTTGAATCTTAATGCTTAATTTACATTAGTAAACTCTTGTAGCGGATTGCTAATTTATTAAAGCCTTGACTTAAGTCTCAGAAACCTCTGTGATAGATTCACCTAATTACCGAGTCTTCAGAAGAAAGAGTCGTATCACTGAAACGTTTATTCATTAGATAAGGATAACGAATTGTGGTCAAAAGGAAAAGCTTAATCATACAAAATGGCCGAATTCAAAAAACAAGCACAGGCTTTCTATTGGTCATTGGCTGTGCTTCTCCGCAACCAATCTGTGTGCAAGGTTGCAAATCCGAACCTTAAGCCTAGTGTACGCGCCTGCGATGAAGTGTCCCACACTCTTTCTGATATTTTCATTCCAAAAAGTAACAAAAAGAAAAGTGACATTTTGCTTTATAATTCTCAGAGAATAAGCATCTTTTAGGATTCGATTTGAGAAATCGAATGCAACAATTATAATTCCAAAACTGCATTCTCTACATACTTTGGTGAATAAAGCTATGAGGATTTAGAAGTCAGAATTTTAAACTTTTGCAAAACGCCATTGGTCAATGGAGCATCTTTGAAATGTCTAACCAATCAATTAACTCGGAATTATTAAATGAGCCCTGTTACAAACGTTGGCTCTCAAATGAATAACAATAGACTTGGGGATAATGCTATGAACCTATGCACACTAGTAAAGCCTTGACTGACTCAGAAATCTCTGTGGCAGATTCTCCTATATCTACCTAGACACCCAGAACTAGCCAAGCTACAGCCCAGCTATAGAGAAAACAGACGTATCGCATGGAACACGTTTATTTAGGAAGTATATTGTGGTAAAAGTGCACATGCCGAATGCTAGTCAAAATCAAAAGGCGGATTCACTTACACAAACAAAAGCTTCTGATTAGCCATTGATTGTGGGCGATGATGTGGCCCATAAATATGACCAAGTTTTGTTGAGAATGTCTGTGCCACATGCTTGGACTTGAAAGTTAAACCCTTAAGCACCCAATGGGATATGCAAAATATACAAATGCCTTATATTCTATATCTTATTCGATTGGGCATGCTGGCAAACTTCAATATGCTGCGTATCGGCAGTTTAAATGTACGTAGTCTCCGATCAAGAGCACAAGATTTATCGAATGCGTCCAGCACGTATACTGGGCTCTCCCTTGCACGAAAAAGGCCGAGTTGATGAAACTACATAATGGTGACTATGGTGGAGAGCTATGTTCATGAGGACTCACAGACAGGAACATGAGCCTTCCGAAAAAGTGTTTGTACATGTAATTCACCTACTATTTTTTATTGTAGAAAGCATGACAATGAATTACAAAATTATTCAGAAAACTGCCTAACGCACGATTATAAGCCTGCACACTCAAAGAGAAATGGCATATATTTCTGAAGAGCTCAAAATATTATTCCAACATTTTTAAATTTAAAAAGAAAGAAAATTATCATTGATTATGAATCACTATATATCACAAATTTATTCTGTACTTTAAAGCTGAATTCAATTTCACGATTTAGTTAGGACGCAACGTCTCCGAATATAAAAGCATTTATTTCCTCCAAAAATTCAAATTGACCAATTGAGTTTAGCGACCCTGACCTTGATGTGGCCCTTGCTCTAGAGGAAGACCGCCGACGGCGTTCAAAATCTGTCCAATTCTTTCATCCCCTAGTTTTCGTGCCAAAGTCAGAGCTGAGAGTCCATTCTTGTTTTTAGCGTTCACGTTCACACCTTAATATTATAAAATGGCATAATAACTCCAAAATGAATGACTCAAGCTCAGAATATAGGATCTCAAATTAGACTTCTTGGCATATAATAATCTAACCTCTGGTACACCTCGCAACCCTCCTCTCACAAGGGGGACTCTGCACTTTGGGGTGTTGTAAAAATCTATGATAAATCTGTCTAGATGGCAATGAGGTTTTGATACCTGATTTATCAAAGCATAAAGCATCAAAAACGTGGACCGATGAAATACACCTGACCTCAGTCTAAATCAGTACTTTTGCTAAGATTCATGCAACTGGCTCGAAGTAAAGACTTGTCCACATGCTTCATCTTACTACGTTTTTCATTGGTCCTCATTGCTATGCCTCCGTCATATTTGCTTTTCCTATCTTTGATGTCTCAAAACACTCCCTGCAATAGCCAAAACGCCTTCAAAACAAAAATAAGTTCACTCACCTGACATTTGGAGGTTCATGATCACATAGAGTTGCTTGTTAATGATTGCATGCATCAATGGTGTATAGCCAAATTCGTCAAGTCTGTCCATGTTTGCGTTCTTAGTCACTAAGTAATGAACGGTGCTTACTTTACCTTCTCTCGCGGCCAAGTGAAGAGGTGGAATTATGTGTTCAGCCGGGTAATCAATGGGAGCACCAGCTTCCACCAGTATTTTCACCAATTCCACATTGCCCATGTTTGAAGCCTCCGCCAGCGCTATATACAATACTTTATCTTTGTCCTGCCCGAAATCACCTTCCTTTAGGAGATACTTGACGATCTCTCGGTAATTCTAAACCAAAGTAAGTAAATCACCTCTGTGTAGTAGTATTAAATCTTGAGAGAGGGTGGGGGTGGGGAGAGGGGGGGGAGTGTATGCTTTACCAATCTAACCGCAACGTTGAAAGCCGAATCATTCGCGGGATTTAATGTGCAACCCGAAGCTCCCGCCTGGAGTAATAATTTAACAATTTCCAATTGGTTATTTCGAGTTGCCCACATTATAGGAGTCAACTGATTGCAGTCAGCCATCTCTACAGGACTTCTCATCTGCAGCAAATACTTAACACCATCTATGAAGCCCATGCCAGCGGCATGATGCAAAGCTGTGCTTTCTTCATTATCCGTTCCGTAAACACTTGCTCCCTTCTCGATTAGAGCCTTCATTTGCTCTAGAGATGCTCTTCGTGTTGCCACAATAAGTGGAGTGAAATCTTCCCACTCAAATGAGGTTAATTTAAACTAGTTTAAAAAAGAAGGCGATTATTTCCAGTTTTCCAAAAAAATCACATCTTACCATGTCACGCTTCATAAAAGGTGCAGTTTCATTAGTAAAAAGTAGGTTTCCTTGAACCATCAGACACTTTTCCATAATTTTTGTCGTACAGCACTAAAAATATATATATATATATATATATATATATATAGCATAATTGACTTATTTAGGAAACAGGTGGACTATAAGTTAACTTCAAATTTTAAAAAATAATGCACTTTAGAGCCATATACTACCTTTGACTTACCCTCGGACAAAATGAATTATGAGCACAACTTGCGTTTGTATAGGCTTAATTGAAGGTCACTGTACCTGTTATCATGACCAAATTTGGTCAAAATTTCAACGATCTATTCACACATGATTTGTGTTAAATCTTCAAAATTTGTAAGTTTACATTGCACAACACGAGTATTTAACTTGCAGCGGATTCGTGATGTCGCCTTTTCCTTTTTGAAATTTGGGGTCTATTAAGTGTGGTTCCCAATACGTCACAACCTCCATCAATGAACAAACATCCAGCCAATGACAGGAGGCTATTAATCATCGAGCCCAATAGTAAAGGGGGGGGGTACAAATTGAGCCAAGTTAGTACCCGCTGGCTAATAGGACACCACGTTCCCCACGTAAGCCCACATGTACGTGCAGATGCCAAAGAGAAACCTTGGCGTGTTATGGGCTCAACAACAGTTCAGTGGGTGTTTTAGGCGGAAGTCACCAATGTGACAATGTGGTCGCTCCGTCACACTTCATTGCGCTCCTTTGACTTTCTTGATCTACAACTATTTCCTTAAAGTTAGAAATAAAATGAATAATTAGTACCTTATGGTCCCTTGATGAAGTTGATATTTTATTTCATCTTCATTACGTTCTTTTAAATTGTGTTAAAATGCATACAGCTCGAATTGAACACACATCTTCCATCCTCTTAGCAACCATATTGGCATGCAAAAGGCAACATAACATTTTCTACTCAAATATATTTGTTGGATAAAATGGCATATTCCTATTCAATAATAAATCAAGCCAACACTATGAAATGTGTATTAATTCAATTTTGCCTTGGATAACAGGAATTCCCGAGTAAACCCTTCGTACCATCACACACACACACACACAACAACAACCAACCCCACCCCCTTTGACATACTTTTTGATGATGCTAAACCTAATTTGAAATGCCGAAATTGGATCTCCATGCCAAATTTGGTTCGCAGAACAAAGTTTCAAGAGTTGCACACAGTGCAAATTCCAAGTCCTACACATGATCAACTCCCCTCCAGATGGATTTATTCTTTTTTCTCCAACAGCATCTCAGTCGACTACATAAACAGCTCTAACTCGAGTGAAAATGTGTCGTCTTTGGAACTTCTGTGATATTCACACATGATCCTCAATACCTTACGCAAGTAAATAGAAAAGTAACAAAAAATTTAGATTTCCATTTAATATTCTCAATAGACAGTGTCGACAGGATTTTTATGTAAAAAAATAACTAGACATTAAGGCTCGCAACCAGTTCCAAAAGTGGATTTTTAATGGCATGATCGGATCGTCGTTCTGTATATCGGGCGAACCCAAGAATTTCCAATTCACTCATTGCACGCAGAAAACGAGCTCTAAAGAAACATTAGAAAGATTGCTTCAATTACGATATGATGCGTGGACTAGTTTCGATAATACGGAGATACTTACTGAGTTGTTTGACTGATGTGATCTGAGTTGGGCTCAATAATAGACGAAAAAGACTGAAATGAAGGAGGAATAAGGTTGAAATGTATTTGTTAACTACAAAGTATTTGTGAACCATATTTAAGCCAAGCAATCGAGCATGCTGGACTGTCACCGCAAGTTCGAAACACCAGTTACTTGTTCTTTCTTTTTGGCAGTATACCCAAGAATAAAGGGATAAAACAAATTAATTCCCCCATCGTAACATAATTCGATTCGTTTATCACAACTAATGTTCCTATACGTTCCTCTTGCCTCTCTTTTCTCTTATCTTTACGTTTGTTCAATACACTCACGGTCCAAATCAATTCTATATCCCCCCTAATTTTGAAGAGGATTCCTGTGTATTGCCTTTGACCCCAAGGTCCTTAACTCTGGGTTCTTTGAATAGTTTAGTTACTTTAATTAGCGCAATCTTGATTAGAATTGAATTCTAGCTTTGCGGAGATTTATAACTTCAAGAGATCTGCAAGTACTTTGACTTACTTTGTCGGTGGAGGGTACGTAAAATAAATAAATAATAAAAAAACCAAAAAAGTATTCCATCGAGTTGGAAGTAGAAGGGAAAAGTGAATAAACTTACGACAAGGAGGTCGTAGAGACAAAACATTGAGCCGCTTTCACTGAGAAGTTTGTAGACAGTGCAAAGATCTGGATGCCGATTTTTCAAACCCAAAGCTGCATCCTTTGGCCAACGTCTCTCCTTGAAAAAAGAGAAGTATTAATTAAGAAATTTTGCAGGATCTTATGATCTACGCGTGCAATTATTGTAATAGGCAGACTTCGATTTCTGCCTTCAACAACGCCTGAGGAATACCAACAACAAGCGTTTCACAATCAAGGAGACTATATCAGCAAATAGATGTTGGTAATGCTTCAACAATAAAATGAAAAAAATGACTTTGATAATAATAGTTTTTTTGGTTATGCAACTTTCTCGACTTTTCATTCAACTACTCCCACAAAATGACCAACTGACAAACTTACAACCACAAATTCATCCAAATTAGAGAGTGTTCGATTGATAGATCCTCCCAACTGTGGATCCACGTTACGTTTGAAATCAGCAACAGATACGGCATCAGCGGATCCATAGAAAACTTCATGCATTGGCAGAGTAAGAGGCGACGGGAACACGGAGTGGGGATTATCTCCACGGGGAGAAAGAACCATGCATATCCATTCTGTGAATTCGTGTACCGTTGCCGACCATGTCTTGGGACCTTTAGATGCCTTTGGAGAGACATCACTTTCACTGAGTCGAGGTTTCAACAATTTCTAACAAATAATGTCGTACACTAAGTAATTCCACCGTGTGTAAAGGAACAAAAAAGGATTAAACATATGCCAACCTCCTTTAATTCCTTTAGCGTCATTCGTTTGCGTAGCTCTGGAGCTGGTTGTTCAACCTTCGAAGCAGCGGGTTGTGTTGGTGCAGAAGCTGAAACAAGGCGCATGCAGATAATGCGTGTCTACTCATTATGATTAAGTAGAATTTGTACATACAAGCAGAATTGAGACGATGGAGCCAGTCGTTAACGGCACTATGCAGTTCTGAGAGTAATGAGATCGCCGGAGGGAGGAAAGGAGCCCAGAATGGATCATCCCGAAATGCACTGTGACCTTGTTCTTTCAGATCTTCGGTGGATTCCAGAGATTTGAGAATATCCACAGACGCTGTGAGTTGGCAAATAGAGGACTCCATGGCAGCAATTATATGCTTTGCATCGAGAGCATTGAACATTTGAATGAGCTCCTTGTTAAGAAGTCGACCAGCCATCCAATCACAATAGAGCCCAGACATCTACAAAATAACACATATGTAAGTGCAAAAGAATTCGTACTCCAGGCATGTAAGCACAAGCAGTACTCACGTAATCATTTTCTGAATATCCATGCAGATCTTTAAAAAGAACGAAAACCCACTTTAAGATAAAGGGGAAAATAAGCTGTAGAAGCCAATGCACAGAGAGCATGCCAATCAGCTTATTGCGAGGTGAAATATTGTCGAGAGATGGAACAACCAAATTAGCTACGGCACTCATAGCCCACTTATTCTCTTGATCCTCCTTGAAGTGGACAAACGAACGGAATTCGGAGAGAATACTGGATAAATTTTCCTCTTTCAGTGAGCCAATATAATTCTCCAAAGGTTCAATTGGAAGCAGAAAGTTCGGTTGCCGGAGAGTGAGATAATGCTTGTGCATGGCCAGCTAAAAATAACAAAATGGAATAGTTATATTATAAACAGGGTTGAGCTATAGACTTATCTACGCGTGGTGCACCCTAGGCAACGTATACTCCTATTCCCCCACTTCACAGTACTCACCTGATCTTACCTTTTTCTCCACCTTAGTGTCTGACTCGTACATCTGTGAATCACTCTTCTCTTCCCCCTCTCGACTTTTTGTGACTTTGATGTTTCTCCCCTCTGTGTAGACCGAAGTCAACTAAAGGGATAACGATAACTATCATAAAGCCTGTCCCGTTGACATAAATCTAAATATTATAAACAGACACGAAAAGCACTGCGAATTTTTGATCAAGCGGAGTCCAGTTTCGGATACGCATGCATTCCCGTTACATTATTATTCAAGCAATCCACTGATATGCAATTTTTCCAAATGCCGTCGAGTCATCATCTGAGATGACCTACTTTTAAGCTTAAGGTGACTGATGCAGTGCAGTCCCAGTAAGTATCTGCTTCAGTAACTAGGATGGTTAATTGGACCAGGTGTTAAAAGTGAGAAAGGCCAACTCACAGCATGACAAATTATTATATCACCAATTATATCAACTCAACAAATAATAAAGAGCACAGAACTCACCTTGTAGTGATTAAGTAAATTGGCCACTGAAAAGTCCATACAATTATGAATCTGCTGAATCAAATAACGAACCACTTGTCGAGAAGCACGGAATCCAGGGATATTGAATAGCTATAAGACGACACAAAACGTGTTTTTAGGCAACACTCGTATGAGATGACCAGCATCGGCAAAACTTCAAATAAAATACGCGTACTTCATCAAAAAGGGATTTCGTGAATACTACCGGTGGAGGAAGTTTGAAACGGCGAATAGCAAGACAAGCGAGTGTTTGAGCATCGAACTGGGTGTCAAGGGCAAGTTCCTCAGTGCTCGACAAACCGAAGACGAAGAAGATGGGAAGACGACGTTGATTCTGTTGCTTCTGCACGTAGAGCGAAGTTACCCGTACCAATTTTTGTAAAACGTGATTTGGAACCTTCTCTATGGCTGGAATAACGATAACAAGGGGCCCTTTGTTCAACAGAGATTCTGAAAAGAAAATAAGGGACTAGAAACAAGATGCAACACAAGAAACAGAAAGCAGAGTTTAGTACTGGTCGAGATATAAATATTAAGGATACGAATAAAAACTGCGAATTGTACAAACAGAAGTTTGAGTTCAATCGGTGTCTAGGCGCAGGGAAGAAACATAGCTGCAAGAAAATTAATTTCTTAGTACACAAATTTCAATAATGCCGAATTAAAGAAATCGTTGATTTAATCAGGTGCAAGGTTAAGTTTGGATAATTTATCGCAGGATCTCTCATCTCCATGGTCAGCCGTGGAATTACACTTAAAGCACACGAGAAAGTTTGGGAATTCGGCTGCCGCCACAAAATGGATAAATTCCTTTGCTGTCTACAAATCAAACACCCCTTCCTTCCTCTAAGTCGAGCAAAGGTTGACCCGCCGGAAACCTCTTCAAAGCATTTTATGGAAATTACGTGGAAAAAAACCGTTCTGATTTGCTAGAACCGGGCAAAACAGTTACAACCAAAGTTTACTACTATTAAAGATGGAGAAATCTACACTATAAAGTAAAAGATAAACGTCTAGATTAATTTAACGGAAAAGCAATAATTTTTCAGCAAGCCAAATGAACGGCAGGTCAACAACGAAAGAAACACGTCTCAAAAATTAAGGAATTAAACTGGGAGATTCTAACACACCTTCCATAATTGGGAACCATCGGCCTCATTCAATTATCACCTTTTCAGGAACATGGATAAAACCCTAAGACAAGAACGATTTCGAAAGGCGATTGAATTAGAAAAACATCTGAACGTGTATCTTAATTTGTAAACGACAGGTTTTCCCAAAAAATTGGACATAGAAACGACAAGAGAGATGGGAAAAATAGAAATGGAAGTGAAAATTATATATAAAAAGTAAATACAATCTAAAAATAAGTAACACTTTAGGGCTGCTTTTCGAAAGCCTGATTTCGTCCTGATACTCTTGGGAGAATTAAATCATTTGATCATATATGCGCCAGTGGTCACAAATTCGACATCAATTAATGCATAATTAATAATGGGGACGTACCAATCAAGAGGATTGATCGAACTTGCCTCTTCGTTTTATTTCAGGCTTATCATAAATGCCTTCATTAAAAATGGTAAATAAATTAAACTCAATGCGTTTGACAATAAGCAAATTAACAGAGATATACTAACAGTAATTCTCTTGATCATTATATCATTTAAATTACCTTTTGATGATTGGGGCTTCTTTACTGGAGTGTTGAGGCTTAAATCTAAAAACGTTAATTAATTTATATGTTCAAACAGTTACCTTGAAGATGTATTGAAATATCCGGTTCATACTATATATGGAAGGGCATTTAATTATTATAAAACGACAAATAAAATTTGAATAAATAGGAGCCATACATACATCCATGTAGTACCACGCAGAAACTGCAGCTAAGGAAGACCTGAGAGAAGGAGGAAGCTTCTTCTAAAAGCCAAATAACATGCTATCTGCAGCCCATATAAGGAAAGTAGGCTTTATATATAAATTTGATGAAACTTACAAGGAACGCTTGTGCAGAAGTAGATTCGCTAAAGTCCTCATCATCCGAAATAAATTTCTGCGCGATAAGAGTGAAAAGACTTTTAGCTGAAGAGACATTTGAACCCGGTTCAATAATAGCTACATGGCCACCCATTGAGCAGATCCCCCTTCTGAGATCATGAAACATTGCCATGTGATCGGGTATATTAACGCTGGTTTGCATTAATATAGTGGTAATTAGTCCTAATGAAAGACTTGACGAATTGGCATTCAGCATTTCATATGTTTTGAAAATATGGTCCTCGGCATTCTTGCACACTTCGGAAGACAGATTCATAATGCATGCCTAAGGAATTTCTATTATCAAATATGTCCTATTTACATCAACGCGTTTACACAGGTATTCCCAATCTTTCTGGAATTTTGGAAGAGTTTTGAAAGACTTCCTCCACTTTTCATCACTAGGTCGAAATTCAATATCCTAAAATTCTAGAAATAATAACAATTTATTAAGATACCCACAGGCATTAGAACAACTATTAAATTGTACTCAGCGGCCTTATGATAGACCAGCTTTTACAGACCGAACAAACGCGAAAATCTTCTGATTTGTTAAATTTATTTATGATTTATCAAAGCCATAATGTATTTTATTTTTATGATTCTTTTAAATAATTGACTAATAAGCACACAAAAAACTTCAAATCCATTGCTCACTTGCTTGTTATTCATAAAACGCCTAAATATATCGGGTAAATTTTGACTAAGGCAGCTATTCGTGCTTTGAAAAGAATATTTAGGTTAACAATAAAAATTTCTAAAAGCAAATTTACATACTGCTGCCTAGGACCTTTGTCACAGACCGTTACTCTTGACTGTTTCTAACGATGCATTTTTACTATCTTCATTGAATTGCGGAAATCAGGCATGAAAGATAAGTGTTTACATTCACATAATGCATTCAATTATAGCATATTCATATGAAATTCAATAGAGCCTTCAATAACCTTCAAGGTGAAACGTATAACTCATACTAATTTTCAACATTCATTATTTTAGGGAATCATTTTATCACCCAGAAACGCATGGTCTTGTTAATGGAAAAAAGGATATTTGCACACTTTCAAAATCCTTCGCTTTGCTTTCTATATCACAGAAATAGCTCTGTACTGAAACTTCGACTTCAAGCTTACTATCACTGATTTTGTAATTTCAAAATTCAGGTTATCTTCTTCAAGCTCAAGCCAACTTTTCTAACTAATATTAACTTTTACGTTTAGTTTATTTTAATAACTATTGCTTGATCATTAATTTCGAATAAATTTAAAATTTTAGATATTTTTTAATTAATACCACTGAGTTAATACATAATTAAATTAAGGGACTCTTAAAGCCTGAGTAAATTTTTTTCATTTCTGCTAAAAATTATGAGACTTTCCTTTAATATTTTATGGAAGTAAGGAAATGATTACAATTAAATGAAAGTTCTCCTTCATCATCCAGTTTCTAAGATATCTGCTTTTGAAATTGATAAGGGTTTTATTTTTAGTCTTTGATTTCGTGCCTCAATTCTGCTTATTTATCGCACTACATGCCAGGGTTGCAAAACGTAAATGTGATTTCTGATAAATGAAATACGAAGGGGGTTTTCCTTCATTTCGATAACTAGAAGATTATTCGCCACTTTTATTAAATAAAGTGTATTTCATATCTGGATTTAAATAATACTGCTAAACTATTTGCAAAATACAACACACCAAATTTCACTGCTCAATCGTTTATAGTTGCCAACGCGTGACCACATTTTACTAATTTTAAAGTTGTCTTTTTATTTTTTTTCACAACAATTGTGTCTTTTACTATTACTCAATTATAACGCCCACAAATGACTGTATACACGTTAAACAACGAGCGGCTTCCTGCAATTAGCTAAGCATTTGCTAACTAACTTTCAAAGTTTTCAAGGGTTAGAACTCCGGTACCTGAGTACAAAGACAGTGGTGGGTCACAACAGAAGCACATGGTCTGGCTGTCACAACGACTACGAAATAATGGTTGCCTAGCTTCCTAGGGAAATTATATTTGTGTAATGTAGCCGATGAAAGGAATCTCGTGTGTTTAGAAGACCTCCAAGTTACTACAACAATGCAATATTACTCGTATTTTATAACTAAACATTTTGCTAACCAACACCGTCATAGTAACCACCACAGACGATCGCCAATAGTTTATCTCCGTGTACGTTATCCTCTCGCACCTTCTCCCCTTACTCTTTCTTAGTGATTTATTCATTATATGTTGATTGGCACAGCACTTTGTGTTCAACCTTACGTTTGAACGGCTCTTCGGTGTTGCGAGTTGTCAACTTGAGTTTCAGCTTCTACGATCTGCTTCTGGCTCATTATTTTCTACATTTTGGCAACTCAACAAACTGGCACCCTTCGTCTCTATTATTCCAGCATATTATCAAGCAAAACTGAAGGTCAAAGCTCTTGTAAGACATGTGCATTCGAATTCACAGGTCTGCTCGCTATTGCTGTCTCGTTGGTCTATTGATTCGCATCGAATTGCCATCAAGCAAGGATCGAAGATCAAGCATCCTTTCTAAAGGCGTTTTAATTAACGCTCCACTTCTTCCTTTACGGCATTCTAGAACATCATTGGTTCACCCCAATTTTGCCCATTGTAGGCTTTGCTTTACTTGAGATCCGTTCTACTTTTTCGAAATTTTAGGCATAGGTCAAACTTCAACTAAAATGAATCCACTATCACGATGATTTCAAAATTTGCATAAGGAGTCGTACTCAATTGATCATTTTTATTGATATTAATGAGGACTCTGTGGAATAATAGCCGAATGCGCGAGAGATGAAAAGAGTGGACGAACGGCAACACGATTTGAAAGAAATTAAAAAATAGGATTTAATAAGCTTCAAATTCTGTTCAAGAGGGGGGAAAGGGAGAAGCTCACACATCTGTCATGGAATAGATATCATCTCAGAAAGGCAAACAACAAAAAGGGTGGGGGGGGGGGAGGGAACACAACGGTATTCAATGGAAAGGGAGGAAGAAAGACTGCGGTTTATATGCACAAGCGAGCAAAGTTGTAACATTATTTGGCACTCTATATACAAAATGTCGATGTAGTTGAGGGGAGTAGAGCTCTCGTAGATACTATTAATTTGAATAATCAGCACTTGAAATTTCAGTGCGCCGACAGTTTCCCCGTGATAGGAGAATTAGAGGAACCAGTACTTCGACGGACTCTGATGTTTTCGCAATGAATTGATGCTGAAATAGAAACATAACTTACATTAAAATGTAGAAAGCTTTGGGTCTCTTGCATTTAGGGAGAAGACTGGTATGGGAAAAAAGAACTATATTGGAGAACAAACCTGCAGTAGCTCCTCAGCACTCCCTCTTTTTGTGACATCAACCTCCAGACAGTTGTCTAAGAAGTCTACGAGGTCATCACTCAGTCTGTCTTTACTCTTGATTTCAGGTTTTCCATTAATAGCGATCAAGTAGAGCGCCTAAGCCAGACAGATAAGCACGAGATTAATTTGAGCAGTTTAAGTGCGAAATATAAATATAGGTAACACAATTATAACTTGATATGACCAAACTGAGTTTCAAATGCCTACTTAAACAATGTTTATCATATGATTCCACCTTATTTGCACAGCCTTCACCTCAATCGCACCCACCAAACGTCCAAAATTTTCCAGAATTCTGTGAATTCATGTGGTTTATAGTACGTTGATTAATCATCAGCTTAAGTGACTAAAAGTTGCAACGAAGGCTTTGGGGTACTTACTCTGGCTACGAAGTCAGAGGTCACGAGTTTGGTGCCACTTGGCGCACAATTGATGCAATTGCCAACTGCGATGGTTAAATGAGAGTAACAAAGGGGACTGAGGTAATATTATGTTACCTCTTACACCCACACGATGAGGGCTTAAAAACGCTCTCATAAGCTGGCTTGGGAGTCTATTGAAAATCATTAATTGTAATTCGCGAATATAAGCGACAGAATCAAGGTGTACACTACCAAAATCATTCGATGGACTTTACACTCATACAATGGTTAGTAAAATGGCCTTCCTACGAAAGAGTACTCTCATTTGACCAATTCTACTTCCAAATCACACCTCAAGATCTTCTCGTTATTAAATCAACAGATAAACAAAGCGAAAAGTACATAGCTAATCAGCATTCACAATAAAAGGAATGATGTAACCTAATCTAACGATTCATCTTCGCAAAATTGTCGATCTCACACGTTTTAACATCTCAGCACATTATTAGGATGAAATGCCCAAGAATTCGAAACAAATTTAGAAGTACCGAGCGAAGTATTAGTGTTGCAAAGCAAGAACACACGCATTACCTTCAGTGGATTTTCGCTTAAATAGGGTGGTTCTCCATCAAGCATTTCCAAAGTCATTATACCCAAAGACCAGATATCCACTTTGGGGCCATATTGTTTGCGTATAACGACCTCAGGAGCCATCCAATAGGGCGTTCCAACCATAGTCGATCTTTTAGCCTCATCTGGACTTAGTTGAGCACAGAATCCAAAGTCTGTTAGTTTCACTGATCCATCCAAGCCAAGTAGGATGTTATCGGACTTGATATCACGATGGATGACGTGGTTAGAGTGCAGAAAATTTAGTGCTTGCATGATCTGGGGAGGGGAGGACACGGATAACATTACAAATAGTTAACGGTACGGATGGTATTCAGTGTGAAGTTCGTCAGAAACTCACCTCTCGACATACTGTTGCGATATGCTTCTCCTCCATGCAAGCTGTTGTCACGACATCAGTCAACGATCCACCATCAAGATACTCCATTACCACCCAAAGCTCGCTACCTATCTGGAAAATAGACGACGTGGTCATATCTTTAAACAATAATTTATTATTGAATAATGTTGAAGAAATAGAACAAGGAAAATACTTTAGAGGTATCTGAATACACCTAATTACGTTCATTTCATTGGAAATATAAAGGAATATAATAAGCATTAAACCCTGATTTGTCTTCTTTATATAGTATGTAATCTAGAACTCACAAGGGAGGAACAAATCCATGCAAGATTGAAACTGATGTTAATTATAATGTAAACGACTTTACAAGGTTTTAGAAACTGGTATCAGGCGGAAGAGAGCAGATATGCCCAGAATCCACACAACCTGATTCCTACCCTCATCCCCCCCCCCACCCCACTCAGCTACACTCACCCTACGTACCTTGGTGAAAATCAACTTTTGGTTTTTCTGATTTTGGCGAGGGCTTGGAATAAGGGGTAGCTCGTTCAGACCATCAAAGTAGCTTTACGACCTTCATGCCCAATTACAAATCCAGTATTCACTTTCGAGGTATTTTCAGGAACTCAAAATGAAATATTAGTACTGCCCCGCTAGTAACCTTGACCATTGTTCGGATAAGTAATATACAAACACGTAGAGAATAGCATATGCGTGGATTACTTTATCAATCTGACAAATTCATGGGTATGACTCAGCCTAATCAGGCAACTTACCAGAAAACTGTCGAGGTAGTTGACTATGTTTGTATTTCGATGGGCTCGCATAACAAGAATTTCATTGAGAATTAGGTCCTTCTTGGGCTGTTGCTTCAAATTCATTTGTTTGATTGCAACTTTCTGTTTGCTACCGATCTCCTCACCCACGTATACTACACCAGATGCGCTGAAAACCACAATAGAGATAGCACGCATTTCACATTATGAAAATGATAAGTGTGAAAATGGCAGATGGACTTACCCATGACCGATCCTCTCCAGTGTGGTATATTTCTCACAAGGATGCCCCTCACTGACTATTGAGCTCAGTTTCTCTATGATTTGATTCTCAGTCATTCGAAAACGCGATCGTGTTCTACATGGACCTCCAAAACCACCTCCAGTTGCATTACGAGGTGCTATGTTAGGATGTTGGGGCACAGATACCTTCTCGGTTGCTCGACCACGATGCACAGCGGTGGAGGCGGAAGGAATTGACGGGTGTTGGCGGTGAGTTCGACTGGTTGATCGAGATCGCTGTCGTTGTGGAAGTGGAGGTGATGAATCGGCATCGCTTTCGGTAGCCTCTGGCTCACTTTCGGCATCACTTTTAGTATGTTCGGTATCCAACTAGAAAAAAAGTGGTGGTGTATGAACTATAGCGATTTGTTATTTATGCCAATTTTACACTAAAGTATGCTGAATAAAAGGGAACTTTGATGGAGGTAAACAGACATGCTTTGTTTGAACACGAACAACGTATTTCCTGCACCTGACCTCCAAGCAGCTTGTCAGTTATGCAGGCGCGCACGCTTCTTCTGTCAGTTAATTTGGACAAAATTGGTATCGATTCGTCGGTGTAAATGCCATCAATTCAATAAATTGTGCTTGCGGACAGTTGCTCAACTTTCATAATGTGTTTGGGTTAATAGTACTTGTAGATGTGGCATCACGACGGCTAATAATTACAAATTAATGCAAGGACAGTTTCAAATTGTTATTAAGCTAAACTAATCAATGAAATTTTTCACACCAGCTTCAAATTCTATTCATGGTCTTATTAGGAAGCTTTTCTCGAGAGTTTGCTGAAGAAAGACGTATTCCAGTAATATAATATTACGTCAACACAACTAAATAACTCTGAAATACACTCTTCATTTTTTAGCCCAATATAGAAATTAGGTAAAAATGGATCCTTTTATATGCAGATCCATTCAGAGGTATGAATTAGCAAAAGGAAGTATAGCTTCCAACTTCTAGTGAACTGATCTGAGAAGCATGTGAAGCCCAATGAATACCAAACGTATATTTCAATTTCCCCCATCTTTAGATTTGATTCGTTTGTCCTTTTTTCCAACAGTCATTTCATTGTGAAGGTCATATTCATTTAAAAAATTTTGGGGACCCCTATTTCCCGAATCAGAATCGTAGGCTTTAACTCGACTGGGCATGATAAATAAACCGACATACATAAGATCTTAAAACTGTCGTAAAGTGCCAAAACTATGAAGGGGATAGATTTGCTGAGATAGTAACCTTCACACCAAAAGAAGATATGAAATTGACAAAAAATGTTGCTGGACTAATTTGCCGAGAATAAGAAGAAAGAAACGGCGAGTTAGCCCCCTAAGCAGTGTAACCTAAAGTATGACCAATTAGAGAACAATAAAACTCAATACACCATGTGGATAAAGTGGATGCAGACTCTGCAGATAAACGAAGGTCTTATAAGTAGTATTTAATCAGGAAGTGACTTACATGAGTGACAATAATCATTGCCGCGTCCTCGTCTGGTTGATCTTCATCAATGGTGTCAGCGTCTTCCATATTCGTAGAGGCCGACTCCTCTCTTTCATGGATTTCTTCCACACCTCCATTGACGATTTGAAGTTTCACAAAAGCGGAGGAACAACTAGTTGAGGAACTCTCTTCTTCCACACCAAAAGGCTCCAGTTCGGTGGTGTCGGCTTCAGGATTTGCGCTCGCTGGAACTTTAACTGAGGGGAATTCTGAAGCCTGGGAAACAAGTTCTTCCGGTAGTCGTAGGCTTTCGTCATCAGTGGGTTCTAAAAAAGAGAGCCAAATCCAGTGATTGCTTCTAATTTAGAAATATCAACAAGGTTACACTCGTTTAATACAAGCAATATTTTAAAAATAAAGCCATGCAAGTGGACAAGACCTTATCTTGGACCAAGAGGGGTGTGCGATAGACTTACCTCCACGTGGTGCACCCTGCTGGGTGTGCGATAGACTTACCTCCACGTGGTGCACCCTGGGAAACGTATACTCATACGGTAAAAAGTCTATTAACCGGAAGTTTGTGTGCGATAGACTTACCTCCACGTGGTGCACCCTGGGCAGCGTATTTTCTTACGGCAAAAAAGTCTATCACTCGGCTTTCGTTATATTCATACGGCAAAAAGTCTATTAACTGGCAGTTAACTACGATAGACTTACCTCCACGTGGTGCACCCTGGGCAACGTACTTTCTTACGGCAAAAATTCTATCACTCGGCATTCGTTTTTCAATAGACTTACCTCCACGTGGTGCACCCTGGGCAACGTATATTCATACGGCAAAGTCTATTAACTGGTAGTTGACTTCTCCGCATACGGCAAAAAAGTCTATTAACCGGCAGTTTTCTTCTCACTTCAAACTACCATGACCCCCCTATATGTCCTACATTCTCATACGGCAAAAAAGTCTATTAACCGGCATTTGACATGACTTCAAACTACAATCACCCCACTGTATGTCAAATTCGACTACTTGACTTCAAACTACCATCATCCCACTCTATGCCATATTCGGCTTCAAACTACCTTGACCCAACTGTATGTGATATTCGACCCCTTTCACAGTATTCATTCTACCTTTTCTTCGCCTTTGGGTCTGTCTGTCTCTTTTACGTCTGCGAATCATTATTCTTCCCCCCCCCCTTTGACTTTGTATCACTTTGACGTTCCTCATCCTCCCTGTGAAGTCCGAAGTCAAATAAAGGGCTAATGATAATTATCAAAACACCTGTCATTTGAAATTAATTAATCTTGGACCAAGATCCTTCCAGTAAAAATCTCATCCCTCAAGTCTATCAAGTCAGAGGTCATGGGAGATGAATACTCCCGTTGGTTAATTTTGACAATAGGCTTAGGGGTTGAATGTGTGCCTCTCGTAATAATTCTAGCTTACTTCCACTCACCCCTAATGCAGTGTCGTTAAACACTAAAATGATTATAGAAGAAAAGTTTAAATTCTTGTGACGGTTTATTATAGTAGAATATGGGCATACAAAGGCGAACTACAATGGTCAAATAAAAATGCTTGTCAACGAATGCGCTAGAAACATTCTAGAACTCATGGTGAGCCTTCATTTTGACTAGGGGTGTGAACCAGAACCGTTATCAGAAATCGTTTCCGGACTCAATGTCGCTGTAGAAGTGTATGCGCGTGTGTATGTGCGCTTAGGACAGGGCAGACATCCAGACTATTGGAGATCAACAGATAAGGAAAGCACTCATATCTGTCTAGGATCAATTTTATACGAGTCAATGTGAATATTCAGAATGAGAGTGGATTTTGGATGAAGAGTAGGACATGAGCATTTTCTTTTCAAAAATCAGCGTTACCAGAAGATTACCTTTAGTTTAAAAAAAATAATAAATCCAAAGATGAAAAAAGAGTTGTGTCGAATTCGTTTTTTTAGTTTAAATATAGGGGGTTAAAATTGGCTGGAATCAATCGAATGTGAAGATATCAAAGAAAAAAGAGAATCCAAATATGAGCTCCAACAGAATTTAAGAAGCAGACATGAAATAGACTTGCTTAATAAACCTGGATTCGTTTATACTTCAATTGCCAGGCAACTTATAACACATCTCAAAAAACGCGGCGCCTATTCTATTTTATGGGAAGTGGGAAGAGTGCAGTGAAAAATATTACATCCGCACTATGGAAAACAATCTGCCGGAATTGACAGTTGATTTGTCGATTTGCCCCCAAAAAAGACAAGAAACAGGTTGACAGTGTACTCACCCTGCTCCTGTTGAGTATTCCATTAATTTACCAATAGTAATAACTCCCAACCGTAGGAACAAATGGAAATTTCTGTCTCCTTGTTGACACTGGAAGAGCTGTAGCTAATGGATGACAAAATATGTAGGCACTTCAACAGTTGACTCATGAATAGGAGCCTGCTATTTTATCTATAAACAGGAGAAACATTGTGGAATACACCAATTAAGAGGTGCTCGTCCTTAAAAACCAATATCCACTACGTCTTGAAAGCTTCCAAAGTCTCATTCAAGAAAATAAAGTCTTGAGGAGAGGGGGGGGGGTTCCCAACTACAAATAGGAGCTTCGTGGAACGCCTGTTTTTCAGACTGAAATTATACAACTTAATTTTTTTTAAAAAAAGCTGTTATTGTTTAAAACGCCTTTAATCGTCTCAATGGCATGCGCATGAAGTAAACTATGTTAACAAGAAACTGCAATACATACGGCCTAGCGAAATTTCGGCTGGAAACGATACGCGACTTGTATTGACATACTGCAGTGGAGTTGGAAAGGCGAGTAGAACAAAATACAAAAGTTTTATTTAAGCATTGCAGCAGCCAATTCAAAAGATGATATAAACATATAGCCAACACAAAAGCACTCATAGTTTTTGTTCAAAATTAAATTTGAAAACCTAAAAGGAATAAATTTATGTATTTCTGAACGGTGGCAATCGCTATCACTTAAAGGGAGTGAAGAACTTGAATCTTAGTACCAGATAATTAACTAATCACGCCATCGTACTCGTCAACTGTCTCCTCACCCCCCCCCCCTCCC